CTGTACAGTACACACGCTGTAGCTGTTTGCGAGGTTTTCAGTTTAAACCTTGAGCTTAAGCCCACAGATGTGAGTGTGTTTGTGTGCAATAGATTGCACATCAAGTATGTACCAGCTGTAGCCCTCTTTTCCACAATTGAGTATGAAAAACAATAAGACAACACAGTATCATCTGTCTGAGAAGGACAAACATCTTATCACGGATTTTACTGTATTTACTGACTATCTCAACAATGCCAGTGGAGCATGTAATATTGTGATTTCCACTGGATAGCTGCTGAATCTCTGACTAAACACACTTGCTGATATTGTCAGCAAATAAGCAATGAGAAATGTACATTGTGTGCGTGATGCTTACATTACCATCCAGAAACTCAATCTTTTCCAGTGGTCACAGATTTGGTGTTGGTTTCATGAATATGGAGCTGCCTTTCCCACCTCCACCCCCAGCCTCCAGCTCTGGTAGCACCCCAGCCTCACCCCTATCTAGCCCCCTGCTGGGTGAGCCCTGGCTGGGGCAGTGCAGATGGAAAGGCCACCCTCTAAGGGCCACGGCTCTGACAGCTTGTGAAGGGCCCGCGTGGGTCAGCCAGGCTCAGCCAGCAGCCCTTATCAGACACACAGCCCTCCCCCAGTCTGCAGAAACTGTGGTGTAGGCAATATGCACACGCAAACACACACACATACATATACACTCATGGACAGTGCATACCAAGTAGGGCCTTGAGATCCCCCAGCCAGCCAGTCGGCCAAACCTCAGCAGCTGGAGAGGTTAAAACCCCCTCACGTATCAAAGAGGAAGAGCAGCAGGAGGATGGAGGGAGGGAGGGATAGAGGAATGGGGGGAAAAAAGGAGGAGAAAGTATATCTTCATGTTCGCCGGGATGTCTGCCTTGGCGTCAATTCCCCCTGCGGCTGTCATTGGGAAGGTTAGGAGGGGAGATAGTGGAGCTCAGCCCGGCCAGGGAGAGAGAGGGGCGAGTATAGAAGCATTTCAGAGGAGGGGTGAAATGATGTGGCTACTACTTCAGGTAGTAGATTTTTTACTTTCCCTCTGTGGAGTGTGTATGCACTGGTTTCATTGATCCAAACAGAGTCTGTTCTGTTTTACGTCCATGAAAGTAGCATCCATCCACTTTAAGTACAGCTTTTGTGTTCCTGACTTGTGAAGTTAGGTTTGAACCCTCCTGTGTATTTTCATACAGTGTTGTTTTACAATTATGCCTAATTATCATATTGCAATCATTTGGCTGGTTATATATTTCCCGTATTTCTAAACCAGACACAACCTGTTACCTCAGTTTAAAACTTGTTTTGGCTATTTTGACTTTGTATTTCTTAGGTAAGTTCTGTAAGCTGCAACCTATTGTAACTTCTCATCCTCCAACGTCAAAGTACACTTTATGAGAGTTAATAACAGGACATACATTAAGATAGCCAATTTTAAATTAAAGAGCCAGATCACAGCTACAAATGCTGCCTTGACTGAAGCTAAGGGGGCTTAGGATCATCTTTGCTATCACATTCTTTATAATACTATAAATCCATGAGACTATAAGCAGAAGGTCACAGTAATGATCCCTTGTGACCCTAAGAGTGTGCACTCTTGAAAAGACACTAGGGGTGCTGTTGTGCTATTGATGGTGCAAGAAGCTCCCAGTGGAGGCAAAAAGGAAAATACAATAGGGCATCAGAAATTTCTACCTTTTTTTTAAAGAAAGTTCTTGGAAAAACTTTTTCTGTCCTTTTAACACTTTTACACCTTGTTTATCACATCTCAGTCCACCAGTCTGTGCAGCAAGGGTTCACTCACACCGGAAAACATCATATCCAAACACTCCCTGGACTTTTTGCCTACTTCAGATTTTTTGGGGGGCCAGACTTTTAAAAAAAAAACTTCAGTTCAGGCAGATTTTAGCTAGCATCGTGCTCTTCAGCTGGGACAGAGCAACAGTAAATGGTAGAAAAAGATGGCGTTGTAAGGCTGAATGTAAATAAGTGCTAACATGAAGATGTAAAACATAGGACTGTCACAGTTTTGTAGCTGTCTGGTATCTGTTGGTATCAGGTACCAAATGCAGTAAAGCAATATTCATGCAAGGATGCACTGATGAGGATAATATACCACTCTGCAAAAGGATTCACGCACATTATCAAAATGTTATTTCAGAGTGAAAACATGTACAAATAATTTTCAGTACTTGACAGTAGTTTATCCTTCACAGACAACATTCTGCATGGATGGGAGGAACAGTAAGAGAGAAGAAATCAGAGTGATGTAGCAGAGCTTGTGCTGGGATCTGAGCCAATTCAACAGAAACTTAATTCTTGCAAGAATCAGCTTTTTAGGTATAAGCTACCAAGGCCAAACAGATGTATTCATACTTCCAGAGCTGTTTGAACTCTCAATGTCATTGTACTCACTTATATTCTTGTGTGTATTTTATATTATCACCATCTTTGTATGTATTTATGGTGCACAGTGTAATCTGTAAGAGTAGCCTGCATCATCCCTGTATCATTTGAATAGGTCTGAATATGTTAATCCCCACCTCAGTAGATATTGAATTGACTGGAGCAACTCTGCAGGCAATGTGAGCTCTACACGATCTTGTTGACAGCAAGGCTTTGATGCTGCCGTGCTGTAATGATAGTAATTCAAACAACATGATAATGGGGGGATAAGCAGACAAATGATATCATACACCAAACAGGTCTTAGAAAGAGAGAAAGAATGAGAGATAGGTAGAGGGAGAGAAGAAAGAAAGATGTTTGGAATTCATCGGCTGCACTGAGGTAATTTATATCCTCCCTTTCTGAGACCGTAGCTTCAGTGTGCACATTTAGCCGTGGCAATCTTCAGGGCAGATGACATGTTCCATGTCTTTTTATTTATTAATTTTACACTGTCTCATTGCAGGAAACATGACTTCTCTCTGTAACCAGAGGCGTTAGAGGAGAGAAAGCAGAGCGGAGAGCAGAGGGAGACAAACGACTCTATCATTCTCTCTGTCTCTCTAGGTCATGCTTCTCCGGCTAGCTCATGCTCATTCCCTTTGTTTAAAGTTTGGAGCGTGTGCCAGGCGTGCCCTAGTAAAGCCTCTGTGTGGAGGAATCCATTATGTTTGTATTTTGGCACGGGTGAAAGGATTTGGGAGGAACCATGATGACTTTATAAACAGTATAGTTCATTTGTTTAGAGATGCTAGAAGGCTTTCATTTTACAGTATCACGTCTATCTTTTGCCTCGGCTGAGTCTCTGGTATTTGTATTGTAGTTGTGAGCATATTCTGTATCAATAAGGAGATTGTGAACTGTGAAGAGTCAGGCTTATTTGTCTAGACACTGATGGAGTCTCAGTGAACTGGGAATAACCAGTTGCTATACAGTCAGACAGCATACATGCACAACACTTTGCCCTAGTGACTCGCAGCTATTGATAGAACACACACACAAACACACACGCACTATTGACTCTACCCTCTCAACTCTGCTGTTCTGAACTCCTTTTTGTTTGTGTGGGAAGCTGCATTTACATAAGAGGCTTATGTCAACCACCACATAGTTTCCCCCCTTATTCCAATGAAAAACAAAAAAGGACAAAAGCTATTGTCTTGTTAAGTAATGATTTTTGGATTTCTCCAGACTAGTTTATGATGTTCTGGAGGTGGTTAGGGGGTTGTGGTGATGGGTTGAGTCTGGGCAAAGGTTTTTTGGGGGTTGGGGTTGGTAACACAGTACACAACAATGAGAGCAGATGAATGCCGAGGTTGACGGCTGTAGGGTTTATGATATGGGTGTTTGTTTATGTAAATTGGGAGCAACAATATGACCTTGTAGGTTTGATGTGTGATTGACAGAAAGAGGGTGGATAAGAGATGCAGCAGTGAGATGTGGTTTTCGCCATCAATGGCATCAGACTACACACATGAACTTGTACATGTTCACAAAGACACACAACACAAGCACTGTATCAATAAACATTAATTAGATATAGTATCTCTAAACACACACTGCTCTTATAGGTTAAGGGCTTTCCATGTAGGCAAAAACACTTGTTTATTTGTTGCTTTGTATGTATATATTGTCTGTATATGAAGATCTTTATTTTCCATAGTTTTCAATTACATTTCAATGTCTCTTAATGTGTTTGTAAAAATTCTGTCACTGAATAGGAAACGCTACAACTTGCATGTAGCCTACCATTGTTATGTTGTACAGTATCTGTATCCATGAGAGTTTGTGTGTTTGTGTTTCTGACTGTGTGCACATGACTTTGTCTCTGTCATTTTTACTTTGTGTTGTACGGTATGTATCATGGTATCTTGGGGCTTGAGAGCTACACCAGCTCTGGTTTCATCGGTTGTGGACCACTGAAGCACATAGTTGCTGTTCTTTGTGACTTGCTCTCTGTGCTGTAGGCTTTCTTATTTCTTCTCTCATGGAGCATCATTCTGTGAGAGGACGTGGAACGATAGATAGATGAATGCATAGCGATAGGAAAGCTGACTGTAGAGGTGAGAGACGAGTGCAAAGGTCAAAAAGGTCAGACGAGAGACCAAGCAGAATCAGAGTTCTGCTGTCTCATCCCGCTGAATGGTGTAAGATTTGAATTCTTTTGTGCGGTGCAATTTGAGTGGATGAATAGACTTTAATCCTCAGCCCGTTGAAATTCAAAGCCAAAGCATTTGCTTACATTTCCAGAAGTGTCAACACGTTTAAACAACAGCATGTTTCTAAAATTAAATTCTAAACATTCTGAGGCTTGTGACATATTAGCACCCACCAATCCAATAGTTGTTGCTATCTGCATGATTTCCATACTCATTAACAAACTCTTGCCAGACATAAGCATAACCAATCAGCTTTAGTATGCCTCTTTGGCTGTTCTGATGATGTTAACCCTGTGTTATCTAATATTTATCTGTACTATAGCGGTTGCATAAACATTTTTATTTCTCTTTCTCTTTTTTTTCTTTTTCCTGTGTTGCAACTGTCAGCAAGTGGTGGAGGACCTGCTGGAGGACGAGGATGAGGATTTTGACAAAGATGACAAGGTAATTATGTCTTGCCAGGGATGCACTCACACAAACAAACACACACACTGCCTCAGGAGGGGTTGACACCGGAAACACAAACAAACGAACAAAATGACTCCGTCTTCCCCTCCCATCTCCTCCCCTGTTCAGTTATTCTCACTGCCTGAGGCACAAACACATGTACAAAGATTGTATAACCTTTTAACCTTTTGAAATGTTTTCTCTGTAGGTATATACACGGCACATTCCTCACCTTTCTTCCTTGTGGTTCGCTTTGCTTTGGTCTTTTACTGCAGTTTGGTACACTTTCCTTATTTCTGCCTTGACATAACACTATGTTGAATCTATGTTACTAACATTGTGCTTCAGCCCTGCTTCCTGAGAACATGCACCCATATAAAGTGCTTAGTTAGCTATTTAGGTCCATTCACCGCTCCTTTATGTCCCAGTAAAACAGCATCTGGGCTTGTCCAGACACTATCAGGTAACAACAGGTGGCTGCTTTACTGCCTCCGCTCGTTTACACTGTAGGAACAGCTACTGAAATAAATGCCACTGGATAGGATACAGTACCTTGTCAATGTTCCACTTGGGAATGGTAATTGAAATGGTACAGCTCTTTATCCACCCACCGTGTTTTGTTTTTTTGGTTTTTTTTTTTTGTGAGGCTCACTTGAAATGAAAACTATTTTCTGTTTGAGTCTGATGAGACTCGAGCTGTGCTAAACAAGGCCAAGAAACAAAAACTTGAGCTTTTAAGTTAAGTCCAAATCTTTTACTGTGAAAACCGTGAACTACCTCAACTGAACAATCTGGAATCTGAAATTACTTGAGCTGATACTCGATGCCTTACAGCCACACTCCAGCAATATAAAGGTTAGTAGGCTAAGATGTGGTAAATTGCATGGTCTGTTTTGGTAATCTTTCTGGAGGAAAACTCTGGCTGTTTGTAATGGTAATTGTAAAGGCCTTTGACCAGGCAATTTGATATCTGAAAATGATTTTGCCTGAGGACACTCTGCTGAATTTACTCATGCAACTGCAACCTTGCTAGAACCTCTCCCATTTGTGAAGGGTCGTAAGTGCAAGACTGCAACAAAAGGGTTAAGAAAATACATTTATAGTGCAGATGGTCAAATAGTCATCCCACCAGTAAGTCGGCCAGTCAGGCAATCAGTCAGCCAGGCAGCCAGTTGGTCGATGAGCACACAAAGATACGTGAGCATTACATCCTCTCCCACAGCGACGCAGAAGCAAAGTTTCATGGCTGTGAAGTTCCAAGGCTGAAATGTACAGGGGGGCACTGACTGAAGATATGCACCAGGCAACCTTGAACCTTTTTTCTTTTTTTCTACCGCTTCTTTACGTCTGTCCTCCATCATTGCATTTCCTACGTCCTCTCAGGGAAAAAATAAAAAATACAGGCATTTGAAAAGCTGCAGATTATATGAAATACATTTTGGACTTTCATATTGAAATGAGGTGCAGCAGCAGCTTCTGTGGCCTCTGTCAGATTTGGTGCCAAACTGATTATTCCACATAAGAGGGCCTTGCTCTCTGTGCTCACACAGGGCTGGGATGCTGGATAGCACAGCCACCACAAAGGCTACAATTTACCAACTCTGGCTTCATACATTTTGATCTATTGCTCCCCTCAACTGTTAGCATTTCATTTGAGCTGTAGGGAAGTTGAAAAGGGGGCATTTTTCTTTTTTCTTCGCCTACATGTCTCTACCCTCCCACTCTCCTTCTACACTAACCCTCAATCGTCCCCTTCCCTGCCTTTTTTCCCTTTCATTCTGATACACTCTCTCTCCCTCTTTTCGCTTTGCTCTCTCTCCAGCCTGGTTAAGTGCAGAACAAATGGAGTTTCAAGGCTTAACAAATTTGTCTTTTACTTTGGATATGAGGTCTTTTACATTGTATATGAGGTACGGCTTCAGATTGTGTGAGTAAGTATGAAGGACGGGTCAAAGGAGGCCTCTTTTTATGGCACAGGCCTATAAGGGAGAAAGGGAAGGAGAGAGAGAGAGAGCAACAGAGAGAGAGTAGAGGGGAAAAAAGATTAATAAATATGCCAAGGCCTCATTTTAATTGAACTTGAAGCATATGTTGCAAGTATGTACAATCCGTCCCAGATGTTTACTCCGGCCATGTGCACAGCTCTTCCCAGTGCACCACAAGGCAGCTATTAGCTGGATAACCTTTGCTCCAGAGGCTAAATGGGGTATTACATGGCCAAAAAGTAGAGCACCTGTTTTTCATTGCATAGAAGACCCCTTGCAGGCTTCTTGCCTTGGATCACCACATGTGTTTTGACTTAACAGATTGTTGGGTAGACGTGAAAAGTGTCTTTCTTGTGAGCAAGCACTGATATTGGTCACTTAATCTCAATGAAAGTCCAGCATCTAGACTAATTGATGGGGACGGCTCAGTTGTTAAAGCCAAGCAGGCAGACTCATGACGGGAGAAAGAATGTTAGACATGAACTATATTTTTTTTCTGCTTCTCCCCTCCTCTCCCTCCACACTGTGTGTTTGTGTGCGATGACCTCTATTTCAATAAAACTATTTTAAACATTATTTTAAACAACACTTTCTTCTCCTACAAATCACGTTAGTGATCCAATACATAGACGTATTGAAATTGTATTTTTGGAAATAACCCGTATCATTTATATTCTGCTTGAAATGGTGTCAGCATGGTACAATAAAGAACTTTTTATTTTGAATAGGTTTTCATAGATTCAAATAGTCCAAAAGAACCAACATGGCTTTATGCAGAACACTTTTCATTGAGAGTCTTGCATGTAGGATATTAGAATGTAATTTCATGATGGTGAAATGTGCTGCCACGTTATCATTATCTAACTCTTCACTAAGAATAGGCTTTAATTACAAGATAAATACACCGGCTTAATCAAATGCCTATCATTATGAACTCTATTTCAGAGACCTAAAAGTAAACAGTAATCAATTGCTGAAGTTCACCTACTGCACAGTAATACTAGAAATTAAATTGATTGTGAAGTTGTGATCTTACTGTTGACATGTTATCCACTTAGCCACCCATTTGCCATGTTGTTCTCCATCATCTTCCTAATAACACTGACTTTATTTTACTGGAATATCATTGGAGATTATCACTGGCAGTCACTTGCTTTGTTTTTTAAAACAATCTGTAGAGAGTTTTAACCCAGACAGACAGGAGCACAGGTGTAATTAATAACATAAACGGTGGCCCCATTCAATTAAAGTGGCCCCGTAAGCCATGCCACTGAGCAGTGAATAGCAGCACAAAACATCTAGTCAATGACATGGACAAGTATTCACATACACAAGTCTAATCTATGACTTCTTGCCACCTCAACCATCCCTACACCACTAAGACAAAGCAAATGCATGTTTTTCTTTTAATTCTATATTACTTATTTTAAAAATGTGTCCTTTTATGGACCTTTTCAGTACAGCTTGAAGTAACATTGTGAGACTTGGACAGTGTGAGATAGCAGAAACATGCTACTCATTCCTTTATTTACAGGCTACTGCAGGTGTGTGTGTGTGTGTGTGTGTGTGAGAGTGTGTGTGTGTGTGTGTGAGTGCGCAATGTAGCCTGTAGTGATGTCTCTTCTCACCGGTGGGCTCACTGTCCAGAGCTGGCATGAGGCAATCACCTTTAGGCTCTGCATGGGTGCGAATGTTTGTGCGCGTAAATGTGTTTGTGTATTTGTGTGAGCGTCTCGCTTATGTGAGTGTAGTGGCTCAGCCTCCTCCCAGAGGGGGGGCTTACTGGAAAAAGGGAGAGAGTGTGAGAGAAAGAGAGAGACTGAAGGAGTGAGGAGATTACCCTCACACGGTTGACTGGTCACTGAAGCGCTCGTGCTCTGCTCAGCTAGGCTCCACTAGCCTCAGGAGGACCTGACACAGATAAGATACACACTGCAATCATGTTCTGCTCACGGGCTTACTGCTTGGTGCTCTCCCTCTCTTTCTCTCTCTATGTCTATCTGTCTATATCTCGCTCACACACACACACACACACACACACACACACACACACACACACACACACACACACACACACACACACAGACATACAACGTGCACTTTCAATCTTTTCCTCTTCCGTTTCTTTTTCTTCTTCCCTCCCTCATGTGCAAAGTTGATGGTAAATATAGAGTAGACTTCATTCATTAGCTTGAACACATTGATCTGTAAAATCAGAATTATACTGAAATGAAAAGACCTTTTTAATCTTACTTATGGACCGCTTCCCTAAGGAATTCCATATTAACCAGCAGTGAAATCTGTTTTCATCCAAGAGTGGGGTCACTGCTGTATTCTCATTGTTGTTTTTGACCTACTGAGGCACCAGCTGATTTTAGTTAAGCCTTGGGATTAAAATACAATTTTGAATGATTTAGGACTGTATGACTCATGTACAATTTGCATGACACAAAATGAATAGTGGTCCAAAAAGGTTATAGAAAGTAGGGATGCATGTTTTATGCTCTTTTGAAAGTCTTATTAATGATGAGTCCACTGAGCATACACGATCCTCTGTTTCTTCATTCCTTCTGCCACACAGTCGTCTACCTACACCACAGCATCCCTTTATCCTTCTCATCTATAGTGCTGAGACAGCCGTTCTACCCTCTGCTGCTTTCTCTGCTGTAGCCATGACTCATGCACATTCATGTACGCTTGTGCACACACACACACACAATCGTGCACATGTGTGTGTTTATTCTGTGAGTATATAACTCCTGGTGAATAGGTAGTATCAGCACATATATCCACTTCTCAACCTGCAGGCCACACATCCATTTTAAGCTACTGATTTTAACGTACAGTCACCCTATGTTTCTCTTTTTGTATCTGTCTGTCTCATCTTTCTCTCCCCATCTCTGTCTCAGCTACTACCTCTTCATTTATGTATCATTAAGCACATGCCTAGACTCTCTCTGCTTTATGTAATGTTATATAAGGCACACACTTTGTCTCAGTGTAAATATGGTTCAAAACCGTGCTTTCCGACTTATCTCCAGATAGCATAAGGAGCTCTGCAGCACCTTCCCATGCCCCAGTACTCCCCTCTCAGTCCCAGTCACGGCGCTGTGCTGATCGTTCAGATAACGACATGGCATAATGTAATTGGACTAAAGAGAGCACTGGGAATTATATCAATGCTGTGGGAAAAAAGTGTGACTGAAATGTTTGTTCTGGGGAGGCTATTGAGCTTGTGATGCAGTGGGGTTGTCCTCAGGTATCAGGGGGGCTTTCGGCTGCTGAGGAGAATGGGAGAGAGAGCGAGACAGAGGGAGAGAGGGGAAGAGAAAAAAGTTTGAATGTCTGTGTTCTTTTCTTCTCGCCGCCTGTGAAGGATGAAAAGCGTCACGCTGTAAAAGATGCTTTTGACTTTTCCGCTTCATTTTTCTTCCCATCTCACTGTCTTTTTTTCCCCGTTGTTCAGTAGAGACGCTGGTAGGAACTGCATTTTAATCATGTTTTGCTAATAGAGGGAGGAATGAAAACAAAAAGGAGGGTGAAAGAGCCACGGAGGGGTATTGTGTCTCTATGCAAAATACACTGCATTGTTAGTTTGTTTTTCCTCTTTGTCACACACATACATCAGGTAGATCATCTCTCACTATCTCTGTTCCCCCTGGATACATATATCTTGCTTTGTCTTGCTTTCTCTCATTTCTCCTTCATTATCTGCCCCTATGCTGTTCTCTTAACACTTTTTCTTCAACTCTGGGCTTTGTTAATTAAATAAAGTTTCATTTCATCTCAATTTTGTGTTGTGTTTTTTTGTAGTTTTGGACAGTATACCTATAGGTTAACAATTGACATTATACTCACCACTGTTATTGTACAGATTATAGAGATGGGTGCTCCTCTGGATACACCTTTGTAACAGTTATATGGACCCAAAAAAATGCAGAACCTCAGTTTTAACCCAATAATGAAATGCTATTTTGAAATTCAGTCAAAGGTGAGTACCGACTTTTTTTAAAATTCTGACTGTCCTCTGCATTGCAAGGCTGAAGCTGTCTCCAGTACAGTGCTTATGTTTACAATCTCTGCAGTGCAATTGGTGAGAACAATGTTATTCTTAAGTACATGCTACAGCCTAGTTATGTTGGCCAAAACATCAAATATAAGACCTCAGTTGTAAAACAGTCACATTTTTTAACTTAATTTCTTTGGGTTGTAAAGAGAAAATCTCACTGTAATCTATCCACAAGGACCCTAAACCAGGCCCCTGGGAGGACAGCTGTGATAAAAACCATATCCTCGAGGATATGTTGGCTTCCTGGCACTTTGAGTGGATACGAGCGATGGTGGTAAGTGGGCATGTGTGTGGCTCTGGCACTTAACTTCTGATGATGTGTGTTGCTGTCTTCCGGTTTCTTATTTAGCTCATCGTCTGTCCAGCGGCCTCTGTCTGCCGCCCTGTCAGGGTTTGTGTACAGTACCTGTCCCCTGTCCGCGTCTCAATCAACACCCACACACTGCACGTTCAGCCCGCAACCCAACCCCAGCTCGAGATCTCCGCCTGTGCCTGCTCTTTAAGGTGATGGGGGAGTTAATGGGGCTCCAGCATGGAAGGCTGCTCCCGTCTTTTTGTGTGACTTCCCTGTAGCACTGTAGACCTGTCACACTGCAAGGTGTGACAGCTGTAGATTGAGGTGCAACGGTGTGTTAACTATGTTTTGCTGGTGGGGCTTGTGGTTCTGGGGTACTAAAGGGTGACATTGGGAGTGACTCGAGTGTATTCGTACCTGTTAGGGGTATAATCTGTGCAGTGACAGGAAATAAAACTCCTCACAGAGAGGTTTAGTGTCTTTTTTTTGTTAATTACATTCCTCTCACAAATGATTGTTTTCACACCTTATGACCCCTAAGTCACTGATAATAAGCACCTTACAAACACATTTAATAAGTAAATCTAATAAGTTTCAGAGCCCTAAGAGTGTTTGTGTGTGCGGCTGTGGGTGATTTTGAATGCGCTTGTGAGTGCTTTTTCTTAAAAGTTGCTACAGAAACAGCAAAACTATTTCATATTGCTGGAGCAAATCCCAGTGCTCATTATGCCTAATGCAGCAATGTCTACTCCCCCAACTGTTATTGTTCTGAATCACATACACAAGCGGCTGAACCAACTGAACTTTTTGACTGATGAACTATGCATCAAAGGATTACGACGAGCACTCGTTGCACTGTAGGTGAGGAATTCATATGTGTTCTCTTCCACCCAAAGAAACTCTCTTCGAGACTCTCACCAAATAGGATGTTGAAGATGGCACACACTCAGCCCTCCCGGTCTCTCATTGGACAGAATGTGGAGCACAACACTTGACAGCAGTGTCGTCTGAATTTGAAAGTCAGACATGTTAGAAGGCAGCCGCCACCTTTTCTTTTAACAAGAGTCATAAATCTGTAATGAGCACAGAGAGGATGCATATTTTATTTACTTTTTTGAAGACGTGATCCCTTCACTTCATAGCAATGCACTCTCACTCTGTGTTTTTTTTTTTTCTTCCAAAACAAAGTTTAAAACAGTGGATGTTACAGCTGTTTCTATTGCCCGTGTCTCTCTGAACATGAATATGTAATTAAAGGTAAGCTAAAGTTAGCAAGAGTTTTGCAGACCCGAAAAATGATTTCATTAATAAAAAGAAAATGTATATTGCGTAGTTAAAATCTTAGTTAAATAGAAGACTCTTGTTGATACATAGCCACCTTAGAGAATCAAAGCCTGAATGTGTCTTATATATTTCTTTTTTAACCTATTTGTCTTAATTTCTGTACCATAAAGAGCCCATTTGTACTCTCATCTTGGATTATAGCCAAAACAAATTAATCAGAGTTTAGATTGTGCAGTAGCATATGTTTTAAGCCAACACAGACAGAGACTTAGACAGGCAAACAAACTGACAGACAGACTGATAGACAGAGAGACAGATGGGGGAGATGGGCTGGAGCAGCTAAACCAGGCCAACAGAGGACAAGAGTAATGTTGTCCCATTCATCACAAACTGCCAGGCTGGATCCTGGGAAGGACAGGGGAAGGAGAGAGCAGGAGCAGGGGAGCAGAGGTGACGCAAAGTGGGGGAGAATTGGGCAGGCTGCGGGTTCAGGGTGGGCGGGGGTCGGGTGGCGTTCAGCAGGAGGCGAGGAAGGGGAAGTGATCAAGAGCAGAAGTTGTGGGGTGGTAGTCATTTATGTGTGTGTCTGCGCACACCTGACCTTGAGTCTGATGGAGTGGCTAGTGTGGTGGAGGTGATGAGAGGCCCCAGGGGGAGATGGGTAAAGATGATCAGTTGCAAACAACCTCCTGCCACCCAGACACATTAGAGAGACACACACTCATAACACCAGAAACCTCTCTCTTTAGGATAGGAAGCAGAGGTCAAACTGAAAATAAGTCACCACCACCTCTTTCTTTTATACCCTCTTTCTCCCTCTATCCCTCGATTTTACATTATGTGTATATTTATCCTCGCTGTGGGACTAGGCTGGATGAAGAGACTAATTAGTACTAGAGAGCATTGTGTCTGCCTAGTCCACCTTCAGCTGACGGTCTTAACTGGAGTTTGACTTTGGTTTTGTGGGAGCAACCCTCACACAGATTCTCAAAGAAAATACATACACACACACTCCAATTGGGCCTATGGGAGTGGGACGCCCCTTCACATCTTAACGTGGCCTTTGTGTGTGCGAGACGCTTGATGAGGGCCAGGAGGACGTGCATCGCATCTCAAAACCCTAGTTAAATAGATATTTATGTGTTTAGGAGAAAAAGAGAGGGAGGGAAATATAGATGTATTCCCCACATTTGCTCATGGATTAGTTGTTATGAGATAAATTATTTATTAAAACCGCAGCCTCAAAAAAAGAAAAAAGAGAACATCTGCTTCTTTTATGTGGCGCTGGCAAGGTGCCAGGTTGCATGGTGGTATCTGAGGCTGGTCGCAGGGCCTTTGTCTCGTCTTGTTGTCATTTCCTGACAGAGGGGATGTTCTTCTAGACCACTGGATTCACAAGTTTTTTTTCTCCTCACTCCCAGTGGATAAAATCTGTTACTCGTGGCTCCCCATTGGAGTTGGTAATACTTTGAATAGATGCCGTTGAAACATTTTTGTTTTTCATTTTAAGGGCAGTGATTGGCTTACATAATGTGCCTCTGTTAAATGGTGAACATGAGAGATCAGAAGTACTCCATGCTGCATTTGATTCCTTGCCAAAATGTCCATATAAGAAATGATTTTATATTTTTATATTTGCCTGAATAAAGTTTAATGAACAAGTGAAAAATTATGACTTATAATTATGACTAGTTTACAAAGCAGTTTTTCATGAAAACATGCAAAACAACTTGTTCATTTCTCATCGAGCTAATTTAAAAGAATACAGTAATGCAAATTATGAATCTTTGATCTTACAAACATGAAACAATATGTAACTGCTTTAACTTTTACTCATGTTTTAAACCAAAAAAAATACTACTAGATGGTTCTGAATGTCACCAGAGTATGCAAATGAATCAATGAAAGCCTCCTCTCCAACCAGTGAACATTGTTGCACATTCATCAATCACTGTATTATTTTTATATTTATTTAAATGCAGTAAGTCAAAAATTCAGCACAGCCAAATATCACGTTTATGGATACAAAAATCATTATTATATTTTATTCATATTATATTTTTCAAAGAGATGGCACCACATCAAATTTAAAGTATGCAGTAGATGCTAATTGTATGTGCTTGTTTATTATTCTGTCATCCCTAATTCTTGCCCAGGCTTTGGAAATTGAATTTCTGTCTCCCCTAAAGCATTCCTCAACTTTTCAGTGGGTTTTTTTTTGTCTTTTTTCCTAGGGTGGAAATAGGAAGGATGCCGACTCTCCCTCTGCAGTTACAAAATCAACAAGACCGCTTTCAGATGCCCTCTGGGAGGCACATATTAGCATCCTGTCACGTTTTATATGACATTTCAATTTTTACTGTGCTGCCAGAGAGAGAGAGGCAAAAAGAAAAACAAAGAAAAACAGGTGCAATTTTAGCACAGCAGCAATGAGCAGCAGCCACTTGTGGTTCAGACTCATTTTGTGGTGTGATAGGATATATGCTGCTACATTATAACGGTTAGGTTTATCATTTTTATGGCGTAACCCAGCAGGGAGCACAGTGTGATCGGAGGTTAAAATAGTCTCAAATGGCTCTCTCTATTTCCACCCAGTAGATATAGGACAGATATTTGAGTCCATCGTTATAGGCTAAGTCCTCAGTGACCTCTCTCTTGTTTAGCTCTAGGCCTTGGGTCAGTGAAGAACAAACTGTCTTTGCAAAGTTTACAACTGCTCACTTGGCACTTTTGCATTTAGATGTACTCTGCCATGATGCTATCTCTATGAAGGAGAAATGGAGCAGTCAAGTACACAGAGGCATTGTGCATCTTTCCTTTGTTAAATATTTAATCAAGTGTTTCAAGGAGTTTACCACATTTGTTTACCACAATTTACCAGCAAGTGCAATGTGGTTAGCCTGACTTGGCTGTATGTGTGTGTATGTGTCCCTGGGCTCTCTCTGGTGTCACTGAGGGTTGTTTCTCCTTAACGCATGCAAACAGCTCGCATCACTTTAACGAGCATTCCCGCCTCTGTCTTCCCTGATGGGAGCACTCCCGTGATGCAGCCTGCTCCACACAGGGTTGCTCAGTGCTGAACTGATGGGTGCTTGGCTGAGATTTCATACCAGACTCCACACATCCAAACAATGATGCAAACTTTGGACATAACCACAAAAGATGCATTTATTCTCTTTAAACGGCAATTAAAACAACTCTCTGCCAACAAAAGACACCGACTCACTAAATATTTCTGCTGCGAACCTGATGAGAGTTAATTGATGTCAAAGAGTTTCTTCTGCACATAGAAACATTTCATTTATGGCATAAACACATTGTCTCAGTTTTTCATTTAATACACAGTATGCAGTTCTTCTGACTTTACCCTGAACTCACAGCACACTCTTGAGTGGCCCTGACCCTTTGCTATAGATAGGCCATCACATAAGAAAAGATTGTATTCATATTAAATATTGTAGACAAAGTATGCATTTCAGAGACACAAATTACCGATGTTGTGCATTAGCAGAGTACTTATGGTCATGGGCATTCAAAAAATAAATTAAAACGGTATGTAATCTCTTTTATATATTCTGTCATCCCACAACTGGGGATTCTAAATTGTATTCAGTGTTTTAATATCCTTGCATATGTTTTGTTTTCATTTAATGTTACTGCTCCTACTGTACTGGATATGCAATCATTTTTAATCCTTTGTGTGAAGCATTTGGTTATATTGAATGTAGTTATACCAGAAAGCAAGCTGTAGATCTTTAGGATTAATCTCAGAATCAGATTTTCTTTATTTCTTAATGGTGTGGCTGCTTAGTGTTATATGTACTGTACTATACTTCATATACAGGCAAACATGATATGTGTACCTGACAGAAAAATATATAACACATCTGCATAGATCCAGGCCTGTCTTACAGTAGATGAAACGTCAAAAATTAATGTTCTGTCATCTGACTGCAATTTGTAATACACAGCCTGAACTGGCAGTTACTGTAACATGTCAGCGTAACACGTTGCAGATTAACCTACAGTTACAGTCTTTTAAAATGCACGACGCTAAACTCATTAGGCATGCTTATTACACTATTTGTCTGAATGATTCAAGCAATGCATCATCATCCTGCAGAAACACTGTTGTCGGAGGTGCTGGGATTTGTTGCATACTTTGAGCATTAAAATTACTTGCAACTGTAGCCAAGTCAAAGCGAGAGGCCTTACAGATTTCATTTTATTAGCCTTGCCTTCAGGTCTCCAAACAAACCCACTTAGTCTCCTGGACAGTCATAGGAAGAGACAGATGGAAATACTGGCCCTGAGTCTCCTGTGAAGACCCTGCTCCTCCTCCTGAGTGAGAATAGAAGCTGGTCAGGACTGGAAAACCATGTTCTCATCACATATCACATGTGAGCTAATTGTTGACACACATGCACACACATTCCTCACAAATCCACAGAAAGTAGAGTACATTTCATTTACATAGCCCAATATCACAATTCACAAATATGCCTCAAGGGGCTTTGCAATCTGTACAGCATGCGGCAGACACCCTGTACTTACAGACCTTTTGAAAGCATAACAAAACAGTCCTTACTTGAACTTATTATATTAGTGTGCCTTAGAAAGCTCACCTCCCTGATTCAAATATTTCATCATTTTGTTAAATATCTAAGTCAACAGAAAGATTTTCTTTAGCCTTGACTGTGATGTGTGAATGCCATGTCTCTCTCCTCATCTTTCTGTATCAGTTCTCTCTCTATCAGCGATGACATTGCGGTCTAAAACAAACTTGCTCAGCAGAGAAAGAAACTGCTTTTAAAAGTCAAGGGCCCTCATCGTCTAATCTGTGTCAGGATATAATATTGTTTGTAGAGTCACACAGCAAGACCAGGTGTACAGATCAACCTTATCTAATAGCTGTAGGGGGGTGTGTGTGTGTGTGTGTGTGTGTGTGTGCATATTAGGTTCCATTAAAAGAACAGGTTGCCTGGCTCCATATGCGCGCAGTGTGCGGGGAAGCTGGGAAAACAAGGTTCTCCGTGGCCCTCTGTGTTATTGCTACCTCCCACCTCCCCGAGCCGTGTTTGAAGACAGGAAATACGAGTCAGACCGCAGTCCGAGGGGCATGTGGCAATGGTTTATACTCTGATGACCTCTGACCTATCCTCTCCACCCCCGCTCGCTCTCTCACACCACTCCCCTGGCCCTCAAACGTTCTCCCCTGAGTCTGGGCCCGAAAATAAAACGGCCTGACCCGGCCCAGCCCGGCTCGGCTCAGCCTAACCCAGCCCAGCACAATAGACCCCGCGTTCTGAGATTTGTTTGAGCGAGCAATGAAAAACAGATGGACTCTGAGGACAGGACTGAGAGGAGGAGGACTGAGCGAGGAAGAAAGAAAGGGAGTCTTGTAAAATATTTGCGAAGAAAAATAACCCAGGGACGATGTCTAATTATATCTATTTGTCTTGTGTGGTTTTGCTGGGGAGGCCATGTGGTCTCACTGACTGCTCCATGGTTCATTTTTCACATTATCTGATCCTGGATGCAGAGTAAAAAGAAGAAGGTGGGTTTCGGGGCAGTGGGGTGGGTGGTGGGGGTCTCAATGGGAGGGTTGTGGTGAGGTGGGGGGGCTGGCTTCAAGGAGTGAAATGTGGTGAAGGCCTCTGGGGTCCTGGAGGTTTCTGACCGCTTCACTGTCTTTGGGTATAATGATAAGGATTACTCAGTTTCACTTCTCTAATCTAACAATCCTTCCATCTTCATCAATAACACTGAAAGATAAATATACCATGTTTTTGCTTAAACTATTTTACATATCTTGTTTTTTTCTTGTAAATTTTGCGGTCAATTAAATTAGGTTCTTCAAACAGCTGGGTAATATCCTTACTTTCCCCAGATTTATAAAATCCAGATTCTTTCTTTCTTAGGTTTCTGGTACCGTAAAATCAGTTTGTTAACAAACACTTTGAACAATAGGGGAAAAGAGCTCATCAATTCATCCACTGAGAGACTACCAGCACCAATACATTTTTGTCACTATATTTGCAAGAAAATGTTTTTTTGAGCTGTCTGAATGCTGGTGTGGTAACGCACTGGAACGGAGTGATCTTATAATAAAAGGCTTTGTGCAAATTCCTTGTTATTGCCATATTGTAAAGTGACCATCAACTGGACACTCTTGTAACTTTTTTCTGGTAATAGTGCTCCACTTCTTGTTATGCCCCTCTTTTGTCTCTAAAGCATGCCCACCAGTCACACTGAGCCACAACCAGTCTGCGTGTTGATGTCCTCACTCAGCCAACGGCTCTCGATCACTCTCTGTCACCTCATTCTGTCCAGATCCATCCTGTCCCTGCCTGTCAGTCAGTCAGCAGGCAGCTCGTTGACTGTTGCATGACTTCTTAAATTCTTCACTTTGTTTCAATAAGGGGGTGGGGGGCATAGATTTTAGATTGCTTGCCTAGTTTGTGGTTTCTGCCCCCCCTGCTCACAATATTCTCAAGTTTTCAACCATCAAAAGTTGAAAAGGAAGAGCTCTTCATGGTGGGTGACAGCGTTAATGAGGATGATAATGATGTCACGGCTGGTGACATCATCACAGTGTGCCAGCCAGCAGAACAAAAGAGGGCTCTGCCCGGTCTTCCTAGCTGTCTTGGCAGCTGCAGCAGCAGAGAGAAAGAGAGAAAGAACGTCCAAAGATTGATGTATCCATTTGGCTTTGAGTTTAATTCTGCCTTTCTATTCACATATTCAAATTTTCCTGTGTGAGCTTTTGTAAGGAAGAAAACATTTTGATTTGTTCTGCCGACTTTATATCTCTATTACTGACTGGAATGAAAGCACTCCGTCAGTTCATGCAGGATATCCGGTGATTTGGCTCCCCACTCCAAATCTTTGACGCTATTTAAAATGTATTGTTTTCACAAAGATGCCTGTTCCCAGCCTCTCTCTTCTCTCTCCTCTTTCTGTCTCCTCCCCTCTCTTCACTGTCTTTCTCCATCTCTTCTTCCTCCCTCACCCACGCTTTCTTTCCCCCTTGCCTACATCTCTATCTGTCCTCTTGCAGGACTCTGAGAGAAAGGGCTTCATGAACAAGCTTTATGCCATTCAGGACGTGTGCATCAGCGTGCAGAATGCACTGGATGAAGTGGCCTCCTATGGCGAGAGGATAAAGAAGTGAGTCTTAAGCCTGCTCTTCGGCACCCGGCCCGCTCTGCTCTGCTCTGCACGTCCCAGTGTGTTTTTTTTCTGCAGTGCCAGGTTGCCCCTCTTCCCCTTTTTAGCCTAACTGAGTATACCACAGAGCTGCTCTCAGGAAGCACTGCCAGCATGACACCCAACCTTGAGAGACAAACGCACATCCTGTCCGTCTTTATGTATTTCACCATCTCACTTAACCCTGTGTGACCTGTTAACTGAATCATCTACATACAGATTAAACACACATCACTGCACATGCACACACACACACCTACACAACCATGTATTAACTGTACACTCATGCTTATACAGGTGCCCTCACTTTCACACAAATACATACAAAGCAAAGGGAATTTTGTTATTAAAAAGTTTGCAGGTAAAAACATTTTAAATCACACCTGACAGACACACCTGTGACCTGTGTTTCTGTAAAGTTGAGAGCATTTAACTGATTATAAAGTGTGAATTGAATTGTGTCATAGCCCATTTTCACCCTGTGAAGCTGACCTGTGAGACTTTGGGTGAAGTTATTTCCTTCTGCACAGTTCCACTGAGTGGTGAATTTGTACTGCAGGGGCATCCAGATCAGCTTGTTTGGGGGGAAAAAATATTAAAATGCCCTCTCTGACTCCTCTGTTTACTCTTTTTAAAAATGTTTGGCTGGATGGAGCTTTGCCATGTCTCCTAATGTTTACAGTCTCTTTTTCCTCTATTTGCAGCACATTCAACTGGACTGTGCCTTTCTTAAGCTGGCTGGCAATTGTGGCTCTCGGAGTGGCCACCACCATCATCTACTTCATCCCTCTTAGATACATTGTGCTGGCCTGGGGTGAGCTAATGTCAACATTTTGTAATATTTATTTACATTTCCATGTACTGTGAATGCAAGTAAATCAATTTAAATGGTATAATTTAATGTAAATACAGGTAAACCTGTCGCAGAGCATTGCAGTTTCTATGTTCCATGCTGCTTTTTATGGATTGTAGAATATGAGTGTAATGCAAAGAGAGTACAGCAACCATAAAGTCTTAGACAACTTGGACGACATACAGGATGTGCTGATGTCCACCTCTCTTTCCCAACTCTTCCCACCTGCCCCGTTTCACTCTCTACAGGGGTAAATAAATTCACCAAGAAGCTGCGAGACCCTTACACCATTGATAACAATGAGCTGCTAGATTTTCTGTCCAGAGTGCCCTCAGATGTACAAGTGGTGAGTGAATTTTCTACTTATCATTGTCTCATTGTTTATATCTTTTTGACAACTCATCTGTCAGTTGGGCATGGGCAAGGGTAATAGCTTCTTTTATTATGTCTGTCTCTAACTCTGTCTGTTTTCTTTTCCCCCCTCCCCTCAGCCGTTAGCGCTTCACTGTTGCACTTTTCATGTAGGTTGAACTGACTATCCATTGTTTCAGCCACGACAACCTCTAATCTAATTGTTTCAAAATGGTTTCTGTGTTTTTCCTATTAATAGCTTCCTAGTCTAATTCAATTTCCACATACATAGCTGGAGCTGTGTAATAAGATAACAAGGTTAAGTGAGTTTAGTGGCCAGCATATAACTAGGTTGATTGACTCCATACACATACACTCACACACAATTACAGTTAGCTGTTGTTTCCTAGCTATGCTAGTAATTGGAACAGAGCGTAAACCAACAGTTAACCAGCCTCATGCGCTTTTGCTTCTATATTAACCGTGAGATCAGATTAACTTTGTGGCTGAAGACTACAGATGCTTTGTTAGGTAAAATATAGGTGTGTGTGTGCATGTGTGTTTTAACTGTAACGTGCTGTGCTGCTCGGGACAAAGTGCAGTTTAAACTGTAATTAAGCAGCAGCTCATGAAAGTCGTTGTGTTATCCAGCACTGATGGTGTCCGCTGTGGCCGTTAAGCCCTGCTGTGCTGAGTTCAATACAAAAGCACATGAACGCACATATACACACATGCAGGCTGAGGCTGAACGACCCGGGGCCTCTGATACGACCAATCCGCTGCCACATCAGCACTGACACACTTCCTCTTTGATCGCTTGTTGCCCACAAGTTCTTTCATCTTTACAGGGTCATAATCCTTGCTCCCCTGCACACCCCTGCAACCTCCTGTGTTCTCCCCCTTGCAGTTTTACAGTTTCATAGTTTACTGGGGCCTGCTGCAGCAGTAGGCACAAGGCAGGTAGCCATCGACCTAAATGAGCCCAAGCTGTCCCCTCTGGTGAAGTGCAGCCACCTTACACACCTGGAGCCTGTAGGAACGGAGTGGTGAAGGGGCCCAGCCCCGGCAGGTCTGAGGCCTTTACAAGGCCCCTAATGAGGGCCTGCTGGCTAGGGGAGGTGGGGGCAGACATGCTGCTCTGGTCTGGTGCCCATGCTGCTGGAACTTTGCCTACTGTATAAGTAATACTGTAAGCGCTACTGTAACGGTTATTGCTGCAGCTGTTGGAATGGTAATTGTTGCCAGGTTTCATTGACAGTTTGGACGCTTACTGAGTAATGAGGGTGAAAGACCAAGGGAGGGGGGTAAGAATAGATTTCAGGGGAGGAGAGATGAGAATGGAAATAGAGAAACAGAAGGAGGAATGAGGACATAAAGTACTAGTACCGCTTATTGATGGTTGTAGATGACTAGTCTGATTATTGAGGACAGGGTAGTCTTGATTGTATCAATAAAATCAGGTGATTGAAATTTAGCTTCGATGTTCAGTCAGCTGACAAAGCTGATCACTTTCTCACTGAATCTAAAGGTTAATTTTCTGCAAAGACACCCTCCTTTGCCAACCAGAACGTTCTGCTCTGCGGTGCGTCCTGCTGCTGCCTGCGGTGGTGGGTTCACCTCAATGCCTGCCCCAGCCTTACTAGGTCAAAGCAGTCTGTGGGGATTAAGTCCTTTAGGCTCTTGGACGATGCACAGAGGTGCTGGGGTCCAAATGGAGCGTCCCCTCATGGGCATGTGTCCATGGCACCCCCTGGCATTGGTACAAAGGCCGACTATGCCCGATACCCTGGATGACTAATGAAGAGCTATTTCAGGGCCCCGATGTGACCTAACACATATATAATCACAGCAGTAGTGCATGTGAGGTGGGTTGGGGGTGTTTCTGTGTGGCGTTCTGCATCATTTGTAGGTGCTTCAGTACAGCCATAACTGATGAGGTTCTAATGACTTTATAAACAAAGGGCATCCACACTGGGCCGCAGTTCATCATAACTTATGTAGCTGTACAACACCACAGTAACTGTGGAACAGCGTTTTCACTCTCTTAGTTTTCTCATCTTTCATTTTTCTTCATAGTGTACAAGTACATACAAGAAACTTTGCATTAAGTGGCAACAACACCTCTAACCAGTTGTACAGTTGACGGAAGGTAGTTGAGTCTTGCAAGCCATGCTCTTTAAATCAGTGACACTGGGCCCCAAACAGCACTGTCAAACACCCTTTAAAAACGAAATCCCCAGTGGTTGATGGAAGCTGCAGCAGGCAGAGTTACCTTTTTACCACCTGAACAGTTTACTTAAATCATTATGTCCCTCTGTGAGCAGCAATGTTAAAGGCTTGCATGTTAGGTTGTGCATGAAAGAGTCACTGTCCCTCTCTGGGCAACCGTTTCTTGTATCTGGTTTGGATCTTTTACCAGTGTAAGCTATCTTTACGGTCATTATCAGGGAATCCTTCATGTCCTCTTAAACGAGGCCAAACTGAGCACCTTTATAGTGCTAAGTATTCCCTACTTGGCGTTTGGGAGGTGTCAGTGTACTAGTATGTTTTACGACACCATTAGCCATGTGAGCTAGGGAGTGCATAAGTAGGGCCAAGGCAATTAGCATGCCAAGTGGTCCTTTATGATCGGTGTAAAGGAGCTGGATCAAACCCCCAGTACAAAAATAAGCATGAATTCCAATTTAGTGCCTAATGAGCAGTGGGGAGTCGGGTTAATATTTTTAGACAACATTTATGTTGGGGATGAAACCTCACTGGACACACAGGGGTCAAAGGCAGGATAGTTAAAGGTTGAAACATTGCCAGATGCCATTACTTACTTCTACCAGAGGTCTCCCTCTCTCCTTCGCTTTGTCCTTCCCCACTTTTGTGACAAACATTTCACTACAAGTGGCCAATTAGTCACTATTCAGTATGTGTCGAGCCACAGCAACTAATAGGCATAACTTTCCTAACTTTGTCATTTTACTTTACTTTACTTACTTTGTCACCTTGACATTCCTTTTCTTTCCCAACAATAGACATGAGTGCTGAATCCTCCGATCTGCAGATGTGTGAACTATGCACAATAGTGTTTCCCTGGAAACATTTAATAACCCTTATGCTCCATTAAGCGTCACATGAGATGAAACCCGCTGAGTTTTGGGACTGGAAAACAGAATAACATAGTACCATTAAAATGTTGCTCCCTTGCCTTTTTGACTTCATTTATTTACTCGCCTATTTGCCTTTTTCTTGCTCACTGTCACCCACCTTGGTTTTGCCTTGTCTGTCTGCCCACACTGGCATCATCAAAACACTGTCAGAGGTTCAGTGTGAGAGGGAGAGAGAGAATGAGCGACAGTGAGAGAGGGAGAGAGGAGCAGGTCCCGGGATGCTTTGTGGGTAACACCGTTAAACGAAGCACGGTACATGGCGCCCCTTCAGCAGAGCACACTTCAAAGCCTGTTTTGCACTTGTACTGTCAACATTTGGGAGAGGAGAGGAGCGAGGGTGGAGCAGCCTTTGAGCAGCGCTGGGTCTTTACCCACTACCTCTCCTGTCGATGTTCCCTTTAAGCTCCCCACTCACGCTGCCAAATTGCTTATATGCTCGCCGCATTACCACACTTTTTACTTTCACCCAATTCCGGTTTCTTTTATTTTGCTAACGTCCCACTTTCTCCTCACCTCCTCTGCCTTTTCTTCTGTTTTTGACTTTTACTAGCTCTTGTTGTCTGCATGTGTTGGCGCGCGCGCGTGTGTGTGTGTGTGTGTGTGTGTGTGTGTTATTAGGTGAGGTGAGCAGGGGAGCCAAGGGTATAGCATCAGGCGGGCCTGTCACCTGTAAGTTGGAATTGAACCTGTGACGCATGAGCCCCATTTCTCTTGGCTGGCAGCTCTTCACAGAGAAATCTCTTGTTTGATTGAGATACTGTTTTTTTCCCCGGCACCCTTTCTTTTTGTCGATCCCCTTCGCTACTCTTCATGAGAAAAAAAATACTTTCAACTGACATGAAAACTTTACAAAGAGTTGTGTTTGGACAGGAATGTCAACAGGAATTAAATTGCCTGTTCCTTTTCGCTGCTGTAGGCGTTTGGCCATATAATGGGACCAATAACAGCCAGTGATCCCGTACAGTACCTGTCCTACTTTCGGATCCTTGCTTGAAGCAAACAATGAGTGAGAATTTGGTGCATATGGAGAAATATTTTGATAAAGGTGGATTTTTGTTTTTGTGAATTTGCTCGCAATGATTTGATTTTAACAGATATATGTCCATGTAACTACGCTACATTCAGATGTATTGTTACTCCTTCATTCATGGTTGAATTACATCGTTAACCATTCACCACGCACACACACACACACACAGATGGGGCCATATAAACCCCTCTCTGTCCCCTGGGCTTTTGCTCCGTTGTCTGCTTTAGTTGGCAGTGCTATAAAAGGATCCACACCCACATGAGAACAGTCATCTCCCAAGTGTCCACAGATCTGCCTCTTTCTCACCCAGTGTCTTCTTCACTCTCATTGTTTTCTCTCCTGTTCCCTTTGTTGGTTTGTCCCGCTCTCTGCCCTCCCTTCATCTTTTTGTCTATTTCTGTCCCTTCCTTCTCTTGCTTCCCATCATTACTTTTCTTCCCATGTTTTCTCCACCTGTATTATTTCCACATCACCTTTCAGACTTTCTCCTAATCTCTCTTCTCTCTCACTGTATCCAACTGACCGGTTGTGTTTGTACAGCTGTTTGGTAGGATGTTAGTTTGCCTTGTGGACAGTGAGGAGTGTCCAGATCTGAATCAGTGCAATCTGGCTGCCTAGTGAGGCAGAGAGAGCAACACATGCTGACCTAACTACTCTGTTAGGACCTTAACAAGACATCGGTGACCACCACTGTGAGACAGAGAAACCGAATATACCCCACTCTATGTGTTTGTACAGTGTGTGGATTTATATGGGATTTTTATGGGAGTGGCAGGGTGTTGTGTTTCTATGTGATGAGGAAGGTGTGTGGGTGTGTGTACATTCTCTATGCTGGTATTCATATGTGTATGCATGTGTCTTTATTTATGAGCACACACACTCATGCACATGCCTCTCAGATTTGTACATTGTAAGCCAAGGATACTGGACGGTGCCACTGAAGCGGCAGTGGGAACCAGTGGAAGATAAATGATAAAGGCTCGCTCTCAGCCAGCTCAGCCAAAGAGATGCTGCTGTTCTCGTCCACAGCAGACAGACCCACCATGAGACAGAACAGAGAAACCATATTGACGTCAGTTTGTTGTCTGCTTGGAGAATCAGAGAGGGTGTCAGTCAGTCAGCCAGACAAGCAGAGTAGCCTACAGTACATCAGCCTAGGAAGGATCCCACAGACGATACTGGCTCTTTGGTGCTGTGACTGTTAAGTCATGTTTTTTTTCTATTAGTATTCTGATTCAGTGGCTAGTGCTTGTCAGTGTCTTGAATCTGTCTAGGCTAGCGACTGTATTTGTGTGTGCATGCACAAGTGTGTGTACATCTGAAAGTGAGAGACTGCCAGAGTGACAGTCTCTGGTTGTTGACGCTCAGCCACTGTGATGCTGTGATGCGTATTGAGTGTCCATCACTTAAGAGCAGTTTCTTTCTAAGCTCTGCTCACAATCTTTGCAAAGCATCACATGAAGTGGCAATCAGTTCTGTTTGGGAGAAATAGGTGACAGTGACAATAATGCTGAACATATTCTGAAGTGATTGTAATCTGCCACTGAAATGTATGTTATGTTTTTAGTAACGCAATAGTGATACAAAAGTAGTCATTAGATATTTAAGGTCTTGGTAAAAATGTCTTGCCATGAGATAATGAGAAGATGGATAACACTCATATGTGTCCATTCAATATCACATGACAGCCAGGTGACAGTTAGTTCAGCTTAGAAAATCTGTGCAGCTCAATGGGTACAACATGGCATTAAGATTGTCTTGGTGAGGACGGGTTTCCTTGTAATCAGGGGTTTTACAAGTAAAGTACGCACAAAGTGCTGTGTGAACTAAAGTGTCCATTAAACATCTTGTGTTGCACATAGTGATCAAACCACGTAAATGTTGAGATGGTTCCTTCTGCTAACCCTGAGTACATTCACAGTGGGTTTTTTTGTTAAATAAAGGAAACTTGAAATTCTGTACTTTCTTCTTTACATCCTGTGGTCTGTAGCTGAAATGGTTTAAGTCACCCCAAGTATGGAGTGTTTTATAGTTATAAAACACTCCATAAAAATTGATGCTATTCAGTATCTAATGGCTGACAGGTCCTCCAGGTCAGGTATGCTCTAGTGTCTTCTCATTATTTGAACAAAAAGCTCCACATAGACAGAATGATCTCTGATGGCTAACTGCAGCTCAGCCAGTCTTAGAGGAGAAGAGAGTTGTAGAAGAGATTGTACATTGTCGGTTTTTACCATGAGTGATGCAAACACAGTGAAAAAGCCATCCCTCTGGCCAGTAGATAGTATACATTTTCTAATGAACATTATGCATCAGTAATGTGTTGATGATACTGTAGTAACTATAAGTACCAGCTAAGCACTAAGCGTTTTTTCTACCTTCTGTCTCCTTCCCATCTCTCGACCCTTTCTCTCCTCACCATCTTGCCATGCTGAGATGACTCTGTTGTCTCTCCAAGCTTTCCCATGAGGCCTTGCCCTGTTCTGTTTGTTTGTGTGATCCCTTCCCTTAGGCCACTGTCCCACATCTGTGGAAGTATGTGTGTACACGTATATTTGTGTGCAAGCACAAGTGTATTTGGAGCTTTGAACAGTGTACATGGATTGTGTTTGTGTGCATGTGTGTGTATGTGTTGTAATCAGTGTGTAATCCCTTCCCGGAGGCCACTGTTCCACACAGCTGGACTCAGAGAGCCTCTGGAGGGTTTCTGTGCTATTCAAGCATCCTTTGCTCTTTCCACCTGACCGGGTGTGTGTGTGTGTGTGTGTGTGTGTGTGTGTGTGTCTGCGCGTGTGCCTGCCTGCGTGTGTGTTTCTGTGTGTTTTAACAGGTGCAGTACAGAGAGCTGAAACTGGATCCCAATCCCAGTCCAAATAAAAGGAAGAAAAACAACCCCGGGTAGATGACTGTGTCCGCCCACCAACTCCTCTCTTCTCCACTTTTCTTCTCGTGGTCTATTACTGGACACTGAGGAGCAGAGGAAGACCGCTCTGGACCTGCTAGGCTCAACTATCCTTCATTTTTTTTCTTTCCCATTTTCTTCTCTTAAACTTTCTTTTCTGTCTTTAATTACTCATGATGTACAGTACAGTTTCCTGAAGTGTAATTTTTGTATGAAAAAAGATGAAATCTCTTGAATTATTCTCATCACCATTATGCTTTTGATTGATTTTAAAGGCGAGTGGGAAGGATGGATGACCTTTTTTCTTAGCCGCGTGAGCCACTCTCCGCCTTTCTTCTCTCCATCACTCTGACAGCTCAGAGGACTCTGTCCATTTGCTTGCCACACACAAGTGTCACACAATGAGTAAAACGAGTTTTACCATTTAAACTCACCGTCCCAAAAAGACAATCTCAGTGTGTCAATGTTTATCAAAATACAAGCCTTATACTAACATTCTGCATTATCACTCTGCAATAGACTTTATGTTTTTTTAAGCCCATCTTGTAGTTATTAAATGATTTTTGGTAATATGTTCATATTGTATGTAATTGTTTTTGTACGGAAGTATCTTGGGTGTGGTAATGATGTTATGTTCACTGGCAGTAATTTGGAGAGTCTCCACTTAACTCAGCCAGCCAAGCTGATTAGCAATTATGGCGGTAGCCTCCAGATATGTCCTTCTACACAAACACAAAACTGGACCAACAGGCGGAAGGCCAAATTTGCTTTTTTTTTTGAGATTTGACTCAAAATCAAACAGTGGACATATTATTTTAAGTACAGTGACTCACTTCTTCTTAAAATCGATTGTGATTATACAATCCCAGAGAGGGAAAAATATACTGTTGAGTATTTGACAGTTGGTGTTATGCCACAAACCTTTATTACGAATAAATTCAGTTAATTTAGCTGTAGCCTCGTTTAATCCCTTAAAAACATGTCACAATTCAGTCAGTCAGCGAGACACCACCTCTGTCAGCAGAGTGGGCCTTCTGCTGTTGTGGTGTTAATATAGATCTCACCCAGTCTATGCAGAGTGTCGCCAGGCAGGCAGGCCTTTAGGCAGCCACAGCCCTAATCTTGTTTGAAAGGCTGGTCTCTTTTCCTGTCATCTCCCTGTGTGCTTGTCTCGGTGGCCACACACGTACACCCCCCTGCCCCCATCACAAAATCCTATCCTATGAATACTCTACTGTAAGAGATCTCACGTACACACACTTTACCTACTTGCTCACAGATGAAAGCATAACATCCCATTTGAGCAGCCACATTCTCTCCCTCTCAGGCACACACACACTCACACAAACATGCTCTCTGTGATGCTGTGCCCCAGGCTGGCCGCCCTCTCCATCTGCCCCACCTCCAGTGCCCACAGCTCAACTTTGATCTGTCTTTCCAGAGACAGAGGCTTGTGTATGCGAACTATGTATGTAAGAGTGTTTGCGTATACACATTTATGCAATCAAAGACGTGTTGCTTTTCTCTGCGTCGGTGTGTGTTACAATTGTATCTCCCCTCCAGCTGTAGATAGACTGATGTGTAGATTCAGTTGGTCTGTGTGTGTGTGTGTGTTGGTAGGTGGTGCAGCAGAAGTGCCAGCTGTTATTTGGTGTGGGGTTTGCTGGTGTAGAAGGCCGTCAGCTAGATGAGCAGCAAGTCGCTGTGTGACAAGACGAAGCTCTGAGGGGATTTAGGCCTGAGATGTCGGGGAGGGAGGAGTGTGTGTGTCGGTGTTCAGACCCCTCTTCCCATCATGCTTCTCTCCGTTTGCTCTTTCTGCGGTTCCCTCATTCGTCAGCGAACAGGGTTGCGACCCTGTCTGAAGGGATGGTCTCTTGGGCTTCTTGCTGAGCATCTGTTGAAAGATCACAGTTCAGGCTACATTTCAGGAGGTCTCCTCTCATCCTACTGCCTCCATCTCTCCCTCTCCCCTCCATCTTTTTGTTCCCTCTCCCACCCCTTTGTCTGTCTGTCTGTCTGTCTGTCTTTATTACTCTAAATCCCCTCCCCACTGCAACTAGAGCTCTCTTCTGCCATTTTGTTATCCTACTTGCTGTCGCCTCTACCCTCTCTTGTTCCCTTCCTCTATACCCATCCATCTCCATGCTTAAATATCAACAGGCTTGGATCTGTCACTCCAGAGGGCCATTGATTTTGTTTTGTTGCTTTGAGGAATCCACTTGAAAGACAATAACAGACTGTCCCCCAAGAGCAGCGTCGCAGACTGATTATAGCCTCCTCAACAAACACACTCTGTGGCTCATGAAGGACGGCTTTTTATAATGCCTGAAGGGACAGTTTGAATACCTGATATGTATGTGTCTACTACTGTATGTAGTTATTTTACAGCAAATTGTGGTGACTTGTATGGTATTGCATCCAAATAGTTTTTTTTTATTTTTTATTAGTTATTAAGTTTTGGCTCTGTTTGTAAGCAAACCAAAGTGTTTTTATTTTATGATGTAGAGAAAATAAATTATATAAAGGAATGTATCAGACTGACAGCTGTAAAGGGGAAAAAAAGCACTTTTATTTGCACCAAGTTGAAATGAGACTATTTATTTTTTAAATACTGTACATAAATAAGTACTTATTAATTTATGTTTGTATTTTATACTGTATGCCTGTTGATGGTCCGGTGATGATATTGTAAAGTAAGTGTATGCCTGTCTCATTTTATAAGATCTGTCTTTTTTCCGCCTGCAACGTTGCCTGCCTGTGACATCATCTTCATGTGCCCAGTTCTGACCAATGACATTTCAGGACAGGAATAAAGAGCTGAGACATGAGTTGGTCAGGAGAGGTGAAAGAAAATATGATGATGAAATGAAATGCATCTGATGTATGTTGCTTATTTTGAAAGAAAAGAAAACAAACACGAGATTAAATATTTTTTATCATCTTCAGCGTCTGGATTATTGCAATGGGAATAAGGCCATTCATCTCAGTCTCAAACACCACTTGTGTTCATATTTCAAGTTAAAATCCCCCTCTCTTTACCTCTGTTGCTCCATCGCTCACTCGACCCACCCCAACAAGCAGGCCTAAGCCCCTCTCTTCATTCATGTTCAGCTTCAGGAAGTGTCTCATTCCTCACTGCTGTCCGTGTGGCTAAAACGCTGAGTGCACATCAGTGCCTCGAGCGTCTCAAACCAGGATGAGAACTGGTTTTACTCTGTCACTGCGGGCCCCCTCACATGGAGAATCTCTATTCCCTCCTGATTTATTGGTATAAAATACGTGACCACTCAGTCAAGTTATTTTCATTTATTTTGTCATAAATAGGTTATTTAAATGTAAAAACAAATTGTACTTTTAAACATAGCTGTAGAAAACAAGAACTTGAGGTAGTAACAGTCGATACAGTGTTGCCATAAAAACGTGCAACTCAGAACGTTCAACATAAATATTTTTTTCCCATGTAATATTTGGAAAGTAAACCAAAACAAGGTAGTGACATATATCCAAAGTATGTTCTTATAACCAAAAGTATCAAAGGGTTTGTTAACATACAGCTAACTTCAAAAATTGCACACGCTTACCCATTCGCCTGAAAGGGAAGACAGGAGATGGCCAGATTATTTTACATCCATAGAAGGTGTTTGTAGCATAGTATACAAAGAACACATAACTTTCCGATCATGGGTTGTGCATTCAAGTCCTTGTCAGTGCGTTGTCCATTAATCCTCTGTCACAAGTCAGCCACTAATGCTTCTCCACGAGACTTAAGATCCTCCAGTATGTCCATTAGGAATAGTGTATTCTCTCCTTTGCACTCTTTCACTGCCTGAGACACATGCCCCAGGTAACTCCCTCTGCTGAGCTCCAACAGTGTCTCTGCATCCTCCACCAGCTTCACTGCCCGCTGGTTCGTCCAGCCCAAAGTCACTTTTTGGAGGGAGTGTGCTTGCAGGACTCGGATCAGCCTGTAGCCCAGGCTATGGGATTTGTCGCTGGGCTGCGTGCGGCTGGGAAGGCCCCTCTCTTGGTGGTAGGAGAAAATGAGGTGGGCCAGCAGAGAGGATCCGGCCTCCAGGTGGGGCAGGTTCAACACCTCAGTCACTCTGTTTCTCAGGGCTGAGTCTCCGACCTGCGCGCTGTGGAGGAGCTTCTCTCTCTGACTTGTTGAAGAAACCAGATCCAGTGCAGTCCGCCCGTCTCCATCAGTCTGCTGCAGGAGAGCTGAGCCTGGAAGAGGGCAGAGGTATACAGGATCAGATCACACAACCTTTACCATGATTACAATCATTTCTATCACAACTCAATCCTACTACGTGCTCCTTGCAGGTGTGGCACATACTGAACATAATGCACTCAAAAGCTTACCTTTTCCATAGTGACATTGCTGCAGTTGAAAAGATTGTGCGCTTTGATCAAAATGCTTCAGCAAGAGGAAAAAAACCCTGTGGCAAGCGTGGCTGCAAATGTTTTCCTGTAAATTATTTTTTGTAAACTGTGCTACAGGCGAAAAAAAAAAAATAAGGCTCTGCTTTCCTGTTAGCTCATCGCAATCATCAGTGACACCACCACAGAGAGCTGACAGACTCGCAACAGACCTCGACGGTGACATCAGAAAATTGTTCTGCTACTCTTCACAGAGATGTGAAAAAGAGCTTTCTGAGGATGATTTACAGCTGCAAAGCTGCATTAATCAAAATCATTTGTGACTGCACCACAAAACACTGTCTAGGCATGCACTTTCAATAAAGATCTTAAATAGGGGTGGTGATGGCGCATAGATATGATGCTTGCCTTTGGTGTGGGAGACCTGAGTTCGATTCCCCACTGTGAGACATTCACCATTGTGTCCCTTAACCCCTAGTTGCTCCAGAGGCGTGCGACCTCTGACATGTATAGCAATTGTAAGTCGCTTTGGATAAAAGCGTCAGATGAATAAAAAAAAATGTAATTGACAGAGGCGGATGAGGCACTATATATTAAAACCTCTCCAGTGACCTTGACTTTACTCTTTCAGCCCTTCTTCACTACCACCAAACATCACAGCTGAATGTAACCCTTTCTTTTCCCAGGAAAGTTGTAATGGTGACATTTGTCGCCTCCTCTCTCTACCCTTCTGCTTTGTCTGTTCAGACTGAAAACCATTTTCCAGTGTCAGACAGCCCTGTGCGCACTTAGCCAACATGGAGGAGGTCGAGCCGAGTGTGAGCCCAGTGTTTGCTTTCAGATAGACCCATTTCTATGGCAAAATGCTCTTGATGGCACTTGACTGTTCAACCTCCACGATGCTGCTGCCCACTTGCACGTTTACGGCTCTGTGGAGGCTTGCCGTGACTCTCAGACTGCTTGATTCCACTGCTGGCAGTTGTTTCTGTACGACAGACGCTCTGGGGCTGCGGGAAGCATGATGTTTTAAAGGAGGGACAACAATTGTGTGAGTGTGGTACATAGTGACATAAAACACACTTCCCAAGCCTCCCAAAAGCCATTTTGACAGCCTTGTTTTAAATAACACTGTTGGAAAAAAAGTGAAAAATGGAACTGAATGAAATCTGAAATTGCTCTCCATCTCTGTCTGCCACAGAACTAACACTGTGTGCAGCAGTTATGAGATAATCGGTGAGAGCTCACGTAGATGTTAGCGGGGAAGGTCAGTGCTCATCTACCTTTCAGTGCTTCAAGCCTGAGTGGCAAAAACTGAATCTGCATAAATTGTGGCATTAATCTACATAAACTTTTACATAAGCGGGGAAATTTCAAATGCAGGGGTCAGGCGACGGGGGCAGCAGTCAAGGACGTAAGAGCACAGATTTGATCAAAGTGGCCACAAGAGAAAGGCAGAGGGGAGGGAGACAGAGTGTGTGTGAGAGAGGGAGTGAGGTTGTTCACAGCAGGTCATAATCACCAGGTTTCTATAACAAGCTGTCCTCGCTATTACGCTCGCCCAGTAGGAGTGGCTGTAATGTGTGAAGCCAACCATAGTGACACACAGAGGGGTTCAGGTCCACCAGAATGTGTGTTTTTTTTTTTAAACCACTACTATAGTACCCCACACAGACACAGAACATCATGTCTGCTGGAAAATGGATCCATCTCCGTCCCTTCTGGATAGGTTCTAAAAAAGAGAGGCCATTTTTCTTCACAATGCGTCCTTCTCTGTGCTACGGTTTGAGAGGACCTTGGACTGAGTTTTGCAAGGGGCCTCTAAGCGTGGGCCACGAACCCAAGCACTCTGTGGAGTGTTTTTAACCAAACATGGAGAAAAGGACCCCTACTTAAAACCTCTCCTTTTGCCAAAAATTATGGCAGCAGTTCTTTTCTTCAGCTGGCACAAGGACATTTAAACGGTTACAGAATATAGAGAATTCAAAAATGAACAAAAATAAGAGCAAGTGTCAAATTAAAAATACTTGTACATGCATGGAATTAACTAAATGTAGAAATGTCTTTACATACTCTTGAAATGCATGAATTCAACCACTTAAATAAGATGAAACTCAGCATGTAAAGGATTATAACAGAAATAGGGAAACCAGACATAGCAGCACTTAACACCACAAGTCAGATTCCCAATAACCGTATCGTCAAACAATAGAAATCTTGTGTTATAACTGCACAGTGTCCCACCGAAAGACTTCCCTTTTACTCTGCTCTTATGAAATTCGGAAATGACTTTAGAACTATCTGAAACAAGAATTCCACCCAAACTGAACTAACAGGAAGCTGCTCCAGTGCTTTTACGCCAATCCAACCTACAACTGTCTCTTCAGCCAGCCAGAAGAATGTCACTGGTGTGGGGAGGAGAGGGCCCCTGCAGCACGGCCCTGGGCTTAGCTTGCCTGAAAGCCTTATACAGCTGACTGTATGGCTGCGTGTTTGATTGTTGATCTGTCTGCTTGAAAGCCAACAGTGTGTACCGCTGTCTGCTGTTTGTCGCATTTGCATCTTTGCCAGCTTGACTTCCTCGCTTTTTTTTTTTTTACTTGAAGCAGTGTGTCTTTTGCTTTTCTAGGATTTTACATTTCTTTTCCTACCTGCCTGTAGTATGTGTGTTTCTCCCACTGGACAAGAGACTGAGTTATTGCTTATTATCCATCTTGGGATATAAAACGCACACATCTCAACCGCACTTAATACAGACGTCAACAGCCAGAGCTAGTGCTGAATTACATATTTTCTAATAGAAGCATACAATAGCATCATGTGACACACACACACACACACACACACACACGACTAGAGGATGAGGAATGGTTTTGGTGCAGGGACCCTGACTGAAGTGAATCCAGGTATTGGCGCTGGGTGTCAGATATGCTGCAGTGGAGATAAATACAACACCTAGGGGATTACATGAGAGCAGAGGGTAATTACACCATCCTTTATGTGTATGTGGGTGTACACGAATTTGCAAATGCCCCGCTAAGACCTTAGCTCTGAAGCTACAGCTGAGGGAGGAAATTCACATGCCGAGCAAAAGCCACTGCCTGATGCAGTGTAACTGCTACAGACACACACACACACACACACACAGAGCGCAAAGCCCTTTGGCCTTTAGAGGGCAGGCGAAGACAAGAAATATAAAAGCAGGGGGGGGGGGGGGGGGGGGGAACTGGCGCAAAAGGAGGGAGGGAGGGATGTAAGAGAGATGCAGTGCTCCCTCCCCCTATGTCTCTCTCTCTCTCTATCTCTATCTCCCGGTCTCTGGTCGGAGGCTGGTGCTGAGGCAGACAAGCTGAGAAGCAGGCAGCTCCACAGCATGGTAAACATCCTCTCTCTTTCTCTCTCTCTCTTCCCCCCCTCGCTGCCTGAATAAGAGAGGCAGGGTGAGTGTGTGAACTGCAGCCAGGGGCACGGCATCACAAATCCACAGGGAGCTGCTAGCTAGCGACTAGAAACCACAGCAAAAACAACAAGGCCAACTGAGTGAAGCACCAAAGCAGCCAG